TCATGAGGGAGGGGGAGCGGGTAGGGGGGGGAGGAGGAGCTGATATCAAAGACTCAAGCAGAAAGCAAATGTTTTGAGAATGATGATGGCCACAAATGTACAAATGTGCTTGACACAATGGATGTATGTATGGATTGTGCTAAGAATTGTACGAGCCCCCAATAAAGTGATTTAAATTAAAAAAAGAAAGAAAAAGAAGATACATGGGTGGCAGTTTTAAATCTCAACCCCGCTTACTGGACAAGTTAGAATAATCAACTCTAAATGAGAGCATAACACGATTTTACTGAATAGCCTTCCATTAAACAATTTTATATACCGTTAACAAATGTGAGGCAGGTAGACACTGTGGGAATAATCTCACCAGTATACACACACACACTCTCTCTCTTTTTCTCTCTCTCTCTCTCTCTATCTAACTCACTCATAAGAGCCTTAAACTGAAAGTATGAGATGCTCTGAGAAGACAGGTTAGGAAGCTGAGCTCACTTCAGTGGGTCTGGAGGGTGGGGAAAAGCAGAAGAGGGATTTTACCAGGTTATCAGGGAGGGCTTCCCCTAAAGGGATCATGCTAGTTTTGAAGGCTGAGGTGTCAGTGGCTGGATGCAGTGTTCCCCAGGAAGAGAGCTGCATAGCAGGTTTCAATGAAGTGCCTGGACTAAGAGTGGTTAAGAAGAAGAGCTTAGTGTTTTATAATGTAAATCGTATACATCACAAGTGGTTCATTTCCTGTGGGTAAAGGGGTTGGGCTGGGGTGTCACCATGAGTCAAGTCAGGAGCAAACTAAAGGACAGCAGCTAAACGACAATGTATGTACCATGGTATAGAATATGAGTACAATGTGAGTGATTATACCACTGCTATTAGGAAACCAAATTTCCAGCAGACGACACAAATAAACACACAATATTAAACAAGTAAAATCCCTACATGACTAATCTGACCTAGAAATATTAATGTATACTTTGTGCTTTCTTGGGCTCTCTCTTTTGATTGTTAAACAAGGATTCATTAGCTCATTCCCCTGGAAGATTGAGAAAAGTGCCCAACCCAAAGGCAATGAGACCCTGGTATCCACTGTACAATCCCCAAATAATATTTCCCCTACAGGAAAATAGGGCTCTGTAGAGAAATGGATGGCTCCAGGCCTCGAGCAAAAATAAACATCTTGTTAAAGCAAAAAGCAAGAAGAGAGCGATGACTACTTCTGTTGGACAAGAACACAGAAATCACCATGAGGTTTCCATCTGAACACAAGAATTAACAACCAACCACAGCACATTTTGTACAAAAAAATCCCTGAGTTCAATATACATACATACATACTTATGCCTGTGCACGTGGGTCTGAAGAAGGGTGGATGCTACGCTCACTACTCTAAAACTTGGTAATTAAAGGGAAAATAGCAAACATAAGCCTTCCTTTCCTGTATAGACATTTGGGCACCCAAAAAATTGCTGAAGGAAACTTTCTCTACTTCACATAAGGGAATGACAGAATGAGAATGCCACCATTATGCAAAGCTCTTATGAAACATGGGAGATGAGACTGTCTCCTCTTGTAAAAATCTGCACAGGGTCACTCTGAGTCAGAATCAACACTACAGCAGCAGGCAATGAAACATGAGCTTTTGGCATTGATCATTACTGGTCATTAGTGTGGGGGGAAAAAAAGGAAAGGAGTGATGGCAAACACGCATGGATGAAAACATGGGTGCGTGGATGAAGACATGCTTATACTTCCTCCTCCAATAGATCCTTAACTGGAACACGACTTGACATATCTTATTGCCAGTTTATAAAACATAAATGTGTGAAATGGCTTCATGAAGATGGAACAAGCAAAATTAAGAGTCATTCTACTAGACAACCCTGTTTGTCCAATAAACATAATGAATAGAAGAGAAAGTGGAGGGTGCAGGGAAGGGGCAGGATTACCAGGCAACTTTAGGTTAATTTAATGAGATGTTTGAGATATATTAAACAATTGCACTGTGTAAACAAACAATGGATCCTGATAACTACAATAACCAGAGGTGGTGATTACGTTGGATACCATGAAGGAATTAGTGAACTTCTTCCATATGAAACTGACAGGTGGCTATCAATTTCTTTTAAAAAAGAAGTTTGTGGAATAAAAACTCCTTTTTATACAGACATGCTGAAATATTTATGAATAAAATGAGGTCATGTCTGGGATTAACTTCAACATAAGGCAGTGGGGGTGGCAGATACAGGTAAGAGCTATGAGATGGATATCTGGCTAAAATGACAATTTTTGATAATGCTTAAAATGATCCATCACAAAATGCTTAAAAATAAGAAGGAGAGATCTCCAGCTAGGGGCTTGAGCTCTCCCAGGCAATGCAAGCCATTACCTTTGCCCCCTGTACCCCACAAGTCCCTTCTTACCAGGTCAGCTCCCACCACACCTCCTGCTTTCCTATTTGATTTCCCCTACAGCAGGCCCACAGCTCTGCTCTTGAACAATCTGAGCTTCAGACACTAACTAGATTCCATCTCTAGTTCAATGGATTCTAATGTTCCCCCATTAGATGTATGTGACCGCAGCAGAGTAAGGAGCATGTCAATGTTGCAATCTTCACTAGAAGAGACTGTCACATCTTTCTCAGATGGAGTGGTTGGTGAATTCTACCACCAACCCTTCACTGTTTTGTCACCAAGGTTTCTTACCCAATTATGTAAAGGTATAAATCAGCCTCTTAAATGGCTCTTGCAAGGTAATACAACATAGAAAAGAAGATTTCCTTGCAATGTAGTAGCCTCACTAACCAAAGACCTGGCATTTTCATTGTATAGCTTTTCAGAGGTATAAGCCAATATCTAGCATTGACTCCTATGTTCTAAAGTCCTCCAGCTGTAAGGCTGCCTCAGCCAGAGGCCGAAGGTTCAAGAGTCACCACTTACCTGGTTGGACTTTTCTACTGTACTGCTGGGGACCTCTGTAGTGTCTTTCACAAAAAAATTATCTATGATGTGTCTCTCAGCACATTCTTGGCTGCACACTGGACAACGAATGACTCCAACTAGGAAAGACAAAATTAAAATTGCATTCTAAGTTTTAACACAAGGATTCTGAGAACAAAAACCACCCACCTAGCCAAATAGGACTTTTACACTGCCTGAGCTCTTCAAATTCATACCAACTGTCACTTTGCATCAAGCAATTCCATTTAGGTATATATGTGAATTTCATACACACACCTATTAATACTAAATGATATATAAAACCAAAACATAAGCCCAAAGCAGAAAGTAGATTCAGACCCACAGGACAGAGTAGAACTGCCATAAGGTTCTAAGGCTATAACCCTATTTCTAGAAGTAGACTGCCCTTTTCCCATGGGCTGCTTTTTTAAGGTTTTGCCCTTTTGCTAGAGGTGGTTATAAAACATGATGTCTAAGAAAAAAAAAAAATCAAAAAATTTTCAGAATAAAAGAAAGTGAAAGTGGTTAATTTCACTATCTACACAAATAACCAACAAAATTTTAATTAAAAAACCATTTAATATTATCAGTGAAATTATATAGTGTGCCTAGGAATCCATTCTTAAAAGCTGTGCAAGGCCACTGTGGAAGAAAAATGCTAAATTATATCTAGAAGCATTTTAAAATAAATACATTTTAAAAAATTCAAGACAGTAAAGAGGCCAATTCTCCCCAACCATCATTGCAACCCCATTGGGGTTCCATGGAGTTTTGAAAAGCTGGCGGGTGGGGTTGAGCTGCTGCCTGTCAGATATGGGAGGTCCAATAGATAAAGTGATAGCACTGGTTTGATTGTGTCAGGACAAATAAAATTAAGGTACGCCCCAGGGGGGAGAAGATAGCAGCCAGCACTTGATGCTGACAATGAACACAAAATTTGTAGAAAAGGAGGCATGACCGAATATGTATTTAAAGTAAAGGCAAATATATATATATTCCACCCACTAAGTGGAGCTAAGAACTCTAGACAGAGAATGAGTACAAGAGAGTGTGAGAAGCCACAGGAAGAAACTGGGCGCAGGAGAAAGAGTGCCTGGATAGTCTCTGCAGCTTCCTGACACACCAGTGTTTCAAGTCAAACTCTGGAGAAGACCACGAAGAAACACCATTGTCTTTCCCATTCTCTTGCTGTGCCACCAGGACTCCCAACAGGATAGGGTACCCCCAAAATGGTCCAATCCAAATAAAATCTATCAAAAGGTGACAAATCTATAAAGAAAAGGCAGGAAATGGTTCACACCCAGTTCCGCTTAGGAAAGAGAAAAGGAAGCAGCTACCCTCCTACACCTACCTACTTCAGCCTTTGCTGGGAGAGGACACAAGTGAGGCCCCAAGCCCCGGCAGAGGCCAGGCCAGCTAGCTCCCCACAAAGGCTCCCTTTAAGGCTAGAGCCAAGCACCTTGCAGCAAGCCAGCTCTGCTAAGCGGTACCCCCACCTTTCAGGCTAGTACACTAAACAGCACGACTGCAGGCTGGGTTCTTCCTGCTGTCTGTTCCCTGGTTGTAAGCACTGACAGCTGAAGTCATGATGGGTGTGGCCACCATATTGAGAGCTTGCGGGTTTCAGTTATAGTTCACCAAGAACAACTTCGAGGTAGGCTAAGAGGGTAACAAACACAAATGCATATAAATACTAAATAAGTACGTTAATTTAAATCAGATAAAAACAGCTGACCCTTTCCAGAAAGAATACAAGACATCGTCTACCCAACTTCCTCCAAGTATTGTCTCCTGAGGCTACAGATGCATTTGGACCTACAGGAAATAATTGGAACATAATTCTTGGTACCTAAATGGTGCTGAATTCCAAATTTACATCTCCACCCAGATTTCATCTCCAGGCCTGATACCTATCTTTTCTACAAAAGATAATACAGTTGGGGGTGGGGGGTGGGAGGGTGGAGACACACCCGACTCAATTCATTTTGGAAATGGAAAAACCTGAATTCAGAAATACCAATAGGTAATCAACTTTTATGAAGAACTGGTACCATCAAGAATATCTGTGTGCAGGGACATGCGATAGAAGGAAAACAATCACGAATCAAGTTGCAATGACTGGCACCTAACAGGAAAGGACTGCTGCAGTGGCACGACCAGTGTCCATCTAAAATTAGTTTGTGTTTGCTGAAATCATGAAACGTGCTTTGATAACTTTCATGGATTGAATTGCATATTCCCTAAAAATATGTTTCAACTTAGCCGGACCATGATTCTCAGTGGGTTTGGCAGTTACATAACCGTGTCATTCTCTCCCATGATGTGATCAGCACTGACCTGATAAAAGGGATTAGGCTGAGATGCAACACCCTTATTCAGGTCACAGCTTTGATCCAATGTAAGGGGAAATTCCCTGGAGTGTGGCCTGTATTGCTTTTTATCTTACAAGAGACAAAAAGGAGACAGAAGCAAGCAAAGAGGGGGGAACCAAACTACCAGAAAAGTAGAGTCAGGAGCTGAGCACATCCTTTGGACCAGCACACCTTTGCTGGTGCCCCCTTAGACTCAGGGAACGATTGATGCCAAGACACAGTGAGACTTCCAACAGATGTCAAGCCAACAGTTGTGAAGGAAGACAAGATCTTCCTACAAAGTCAACAGAGAGAAATCCTTCTCCTAGAGTTGATGCTCCGAATTCAGGCTTCTAGCCTCCTAAACTGAGAGAAAACATTTGTTTGTTAAAGCCACCTACTTACAATATTTCTATTATAGCAGCATTAGATAACTAAGACTACCTCTGAGGTCATACACGACTGATATACTCTCTCACTGCAATCATACACTGTTTACAGGAATAGAAAGCCATCTTTCTCCCGTGCAGCTGCTGGTAGTTCCAAACTACTGACCATGAGGATGGCAGCCCAGGCTTGCCCTGAGCTGGTGTTCCACAGTTGTGGGGATTTGGAGCTTGTTGCCAATGCAATATGCTGTGCCCAGCAGACCTGTCTGTTTCAAACTGCTGACCATGCAGATAGAAGCCCAAGGAGAAACCACTACACCACCAGAGCTTCCTGACTGATAAAGAATCCTAGTAAATCAACAATTATACACTTACAGAAATAGTGGGTTTTAAATGAAATAACCAGGATTTGACTGTTTCTTTTTATTTATAATTAAATGCTTCACAATTTTGCATTTGGGGCACGAATTCTATTTGTTACCTGCTTTCTGTGGTGTTTCATTTCTAAACAAAAGCACAGTGAAGAGCTTATGCTTTGACCTTATGCACCGAACTGGTTGGCACTTTTTTACTGTACACATCCACAAAGGAAAACAATGTGGATGTAAAGCCATTTAATACATACGCAGAGCCCTGACAACACAGTCTTAAGTGCTGGACAGCTAATTTCAAGGTTTGAGGTTCAAATCCACCAGCATTGCTCTGCAAGAATAAGATGAAATTATCTGCTCCCCTCAAAATCTGAAGCTTCCATTGGGTCACTATGAGTCAGAATACTATGTTTAATTCCATTGTACTCAGATTGCTATGAATCGAGTCAACTTGATGGCCCAACAGCAACATGACAGGCTGTGGATCACAGGCAAGGGAACTGAATGACAACATTCACAGACCACAACCAGTCAGGCAACTACATCTTAGGATAAAAAGAGCTGCTTAATTGTAGTATTAAATTAAATGGGTTGGGGGGTGAGGTAGGGGACCAGCCCCACCCGCTGCTAACTAATACTAATAATACTACCCACGGGTTCAATAAGCACAATTGTACAGTTGAGATATATAAGTATTATATTAAAGTCATCGAGAGCATGAGAGATATTACAATAATGCAGTCAGACACATTACAGGGTAGCATTGCTCACCTCAGCCCAGCTTGGTGGTCCATGTAGAGAGAGGGGGAAGGGAAGGAGGACAAGAGAACAAAGGAGAGAGACAGGAGAGGAGAGGGG